TTAGCTAGGGGATGTATGCTCATTGGCCTCTTTTATTTTTGTCCCCACTCTCTTTAGTTTAATTCTCCCCTCCCCTGTTCGGTGACAAAGATGTCAGTTCTCTGATGGATGCGGGACCCCTTTCGTATTTCGACTGTGTTTTTCGTATTTGTTGATGTGTCTGAATGAATGAGTGTGTATTTGAGTGGTTGGTCGAATTAACCACCCCTCTCAAGGGTAAACGCTGTTACATTAGCTTATGTAAAAGCGTTTACCCTTGCGAGGGATGGTTAGTTGATTGGAACCTTTTAAAACCCTCTATTCTACATTCAACACCATCACTTGATAAGACACCAGAGGTGTTGAAACAAAATGGATATTTTTGTAGTGATTTTTTAACATATTTATGTTATAATTTTCGAATAAATAATTATATTCGCTCTACTCTGTATTGAGAACTCTTTTAAGAATAGTAATTGTTGGTTATTGGAATTTATTCCGTATACACCAAACCTATATATATATATATATATATATATATACTACTACTAAAAGGTGTTTCATTAAGACGGATCAAAGATAGCAGTAAATAAATCAGTGTTATTGGTGGAAATTTATTTATTTCTCTATTTGGTCATATTATTTAAGTCATGGCAATTATGGGTAAAAAATAATATCGCCCAAATGTCCGCCAAGGTTTCGGCGGCACACCTCCACTCGATGGTCAAAATTTTTGTTGACATCTCTGTATAGTTGCTCCTCGATCTGACCAATATGCCTTATTATCTCATCCTTCAGCTGTTGAATTGTTGTTGGCTTGTTAGCATAGAGGTTACTTTTGAGATGACCCCAAAGGAAGAAATCTAAAGGCGTCAAGTCGCATGATCCTGGTGGCCAATTGACTTTCCTGTTTCAAGAGATGATGCGACCTGGGAACTTCTCATTCAAATTCTGTTTGAACATTCATTTTCGTAATAGGCTTCGATAACTTTAACACGTTGTTTGATTGTTAATCTTTCCATGGTTGAAATTGCCAAAGACTTAAGTTGTTAAATGTGAAAGTGAAAAAAAATTATTAGACCCTTAAAATTAATTCACATTTAAAATCGGTCCACGTTATTGGAGCACTTATTACTATCACTATTAGTATTCATATTACCACTTTTAGAACCATTTTGTTATGAATAATCAAGAGTGGTCTCCCCTTCTTTTATTACTCTCCTCTTTTTCAGCTATTTCTGTTTACTGGGACTATAAAAGGACACTTTACGCGAACCTTGTATTCTCAGTTGAATAAAGCTTTCTTAAAGCCTACACCCGCGTACTTTTGTCATTACAACTTTATAATCATCACTGCCACCATTTGTAGTTTTTTTATCATTATTATAATTTTTATTATTTCATCATTATTATGATTACCACAACTATTACCATTACTATCATTGTCATTATTTTTTCATCCATTTTTATTTATTTTTTTAATTTATTTTCTATTTATTTTTATTTTTTATTTTTATTTTGTCATCACTATTATTATTATTGTTGTTGTTTCCAGCATTATTAGGGATAACTTTATCGTTCATCATAACTAATAACATATCAATTATTACCAATATATCAATAATAAAACCACAGTTAATATTGCCATTAAGTTAAATACAATCGTTAATAATAAAACTGCAGTTATTGTTGTTTAAAAAATACAAATACCATCGCCATGCCTTCAGACAGAACCTAATTTAATCCACGTGGTGGTAGACCCCCAAACAATGTGGGCGTGCCTCTACATGTGAGTGTATATCTGCCGGTGCAAACAGACGACCTGAAAAAAACAACAAAGCCTCCCCCCCCGCACCTGTCCTCTACTAAGAGAACAAAGCTACATATGAAACGCTACACTGAAATAGACCGAATGAAAATTGCGTACATACGTGTGCTCGAGCGTATGAATGAAAAACTGCGCCTAACTCAAGATTTTGAATATGGGTGTGTATGTATGAACTATCATGTATACGCCAGTATGTATGTGTGTCTATGTATATATGTCATCCCAAACAGAAAATAAAAGTCTTCCCACAATACACAATCAAACACAAAGCATATTTAGATCCACGTTTGAAAAAATATACCCGACTCTCTTCAGATCGCTAAGGTCACAAACAACTCTCCATGCAACCGATAAGCAAAATACTTTGCTATATTTCAAGTTGAGTTTATATTGATTGTAATTAATTTTTGTCTGATTGCCAGTAAAAACGCTAAAATGGTCAATATTAACAAATCTATCAACACAACATAACTCCTTTATTAAAAATCTTTCAAAAATAAAATATACATTTTTGTAACTTTATTTGAGGAAGATTGATTTAAAGTTTATTTAATCTGAATTAAAACATGTTACTTTTAGTTTAAAATCTCACCGAAAAGCACTTTTTAACACGAGCGTGGCTGTTTTTGATATATTAGCGACAAACTGGCATTTGAGAAATTTATCAGAGAGAGAGAGAGAGATAATTCTTATAAAATTATATGAATACAACGTAAACGCCTTATATATAACTACCCAGAAATCTTTAAAATTGAAAATAATAATAAGCAATAACTTATTCAATATTAGGAACTTTGATTTACTTACGAAGACGCTCCTTGAGGCAATGTTAGAAAATTACCAATAAATTTTAGTGGTTACGTTTATACACACACAAAAATATTCAAACTATTCAAAATTTCTTTTAAAATACCAAGAGTTGGTGGATTGATGTAAGCTTTTTCATTTATGATTAGTAAATAGAGTTTTTATTTAACAACAATATCACTTGACCCATAAAAATTAACATAAAATTTGATAAATTCTTCTAATTAAAATGAAAAAAATGAAAACAATTCTTGTAAAAATTCATTATTTGTCAATTCTTTCTTCTTAAGACAATAGTGCTCACAATATATTTTATTTATACAATATATTTTATTTATAAGAGCTATTTTATATTTAGGCAATATATTCTATAAAAACCATTTCAAGATAAATAATATTTTAGATTTTTAATTTTTTAATTTATGATTCAGAACAGATTCAGAACAGATTTTCTGTAAGTAGGGGCCTTATCTAATAAAAAAAAAATGATGATTTAAATTCTCCAAGGACTTGTTATAAACATGAAGGGCTACAAAAAAGACTTTCTCTAAATTTCATGGAACTAAATAAGTGCGGGTAACAGATGTAAAAAAAATTACTACGATTTTCAAAAATATTTTTTCATTGGTGAATAAGTCGAAAACCTTTCGTTAAAATCCGACAATTACATGATTTTGGGTGGAATTTCCAAATCAATGATTATAAAATTTTATCGCAAAAAGATGCTTTAATTTTGCATATTAATTCATGGTTCTCCTTTGACGTCAGAAAAACAAGATTTTTGACCCAATTCTGCAGTACTTAAAATGGATTAAAAATATAATTTTTACATAAAAATATTCCACTCTTTTTTCTTTATAATAACACAAAAATTTGGAGAATAAAACTTTGTTTTTATTACATTTTGGGCTTCTTTTCATCATGTGTACTAATTTTCTTTAGTAAATCTTCAGTTTAGACGTCATTTCAGGCTAAAAATAAAATCCATTAATTTCTAGGAAATTAAGATTCTTCTATCAAAGCTGATTTAAGGATAGCCTGCGTTTTATCAAGACATCTATCGGAATGTCTCAGAGATATAGAATATAAATTCTGATCAGCGTTTTCTAAGCCAAAGTTCTAATTAAATCAAAGCCAGAAGTCGTTCTCTTCCAGTAATCTTAAGAGCACCTGAATATAGACAACAGTTTCCAAACACCTGACTGCTTTTCAGCATTAAGAGATGTAAAGATTATGACCAACATATCCAACTCCGTTTTCTGGTCTCAGCTGCTTGGAATGAATCCACTAATTCTACAAGTTCATAACACTTCAAGATGATATCGGTGGCTTTGGTCATTCGCTGAGTCGTCCAGAATACGTTAAATCGAATATCAGATCAAGTTTTTCGTGACTGGTGTTTCGTGCGAAAGTATATTAATATCTCGATAGAGGCAAGGGATTAGTTATTCCATTTCGGGAAGAAGTTCTCAGAATGGTTCATGAATTAATGAAATAGGCGAGAATTATAAATAAACATACAAATGTTTATGCGTTGTGCCTCTTCAAGACGTGGGCGATAGTGGTTCTCCTCAACTTCCTATCTTTCGTAGATTTAATCAATATTTCTCTCCCATCTGTTTCTTTATCTGAATCCATTTAGACAAGCTTGTTAGATAGGTTATTTACTGCTTCCCGCTGCTCTTTCAGGAGGTGGTCGATAATGACTCTCCACAACTTCCTACCCTTCGTAGCTCTAAGCCATATTTGTCATTTTACTATGACTTCCAGGCCCTTTTCTGTCATCCATTTAAACGAACTCATTACATTATTCGCTGGTTCCTTTTGTCAGTTAATGACATGGTCGATTATAATTCTCCCCAATTTTCTATCCTATAAGCAATATGTCACCTTATTATCTCCTAGGACTTTTTGCAGATTATTTATAGCCAGATAATATTTTAGATTGAATCAGTTGTTTTGAGATAATAACGATTTACTGATAAAGTCGTACTAATTAACTCATATTAGTGAAGGGAGTGGTGAATTCATGCTTTTCTCAAAGTTAAGTATCTAGCCGGCTTCTCCACTTTAAGGCAGGATATGAGGCTCGATTTTCTTTATGAGGAGAGTGCCATAAACCTACGTATACATATAGGCAAAGGACAACATTGTTACGCTGGCATCAATATCACACTGACTCCTCTTATTGCAATGAGGGAGGTGCAGCTGAAGGGTTGTTATCCCCGGGCGCTTTCTCCCCTCAAAAATGAGGAGAAGCATTTACTTCACGTTCCCAAAGTTATTGGCGCGTAAGTGAATATAAGAAAACGGGTCTGGAATTGGAACTCGGATCTTCGGTTAACAATCCCGAACCTTAATCCATTACACCATCCGCAAATACAAGCTTACAGCACCCGGTATTCCCCAGCAGTCACCCACCTAAGTACTGGCCAGGCCTGACGTTGCTTAACTTCGCTGATCGCACAGGAACTGGCTTTTCTACGTGATATGGCCGTAAGTTTGGAAAGAGAAGAGAGCGAAAACAGAAAAGAAAAAAATGAGACTGAAAAAAAGGAATTCATTATCTGTCCTAAACAACATTAAAATCTGAAATTGCGTTTAATACAAAGGTTTTAGTTGAAAATGGATATCCTTTCGGCTGTCTGTAACCTAGAATTCGAGTTAAAATTGTATAATTTAATAAACCCAAATTGCATGAGAAGTGTCTTAATCATTACAAGGCCATAAAGCCACTAAGACGGAAGGGGGGTTACTAAGAGTGAAAGAAGAATAAAACGTTATTGAGGAGAAACAAGATGGAAAGCAAAAACATGTAAGGCATTTATTGTAAAGCTTAGAGAGAATATGAACCAGTTCAGGAACACCTTTCTTTGAGAAGGTTTTAGTTGAAAATAGCTACCCTCTAGATCTTGCGCAAACTAGCATGCTAAAATTGCACAAATTTATAAATCTAACTTATATGTTCCAGAAAGTGTTCAGTCTATTTGCTATTACCATGTGTCAGCCTTGAGGTTAGTCTGGGCACTCAGTGAGTTTCCAACACACTACTAAGTCATAATTGACCTAGTGAGACAAGCTTGGTAACAATTACACTACGTAGAAGTGAACAAACGATTTTCTCAGATATGGCTTAAGGTTGAAAGTTTGTTAGACAGGTGTAAATTTAGGCACTCAGAGATAAATTACCTTTGACCTTGGGGATTACGGAAATGACTCACCTCGAAAAGACTTTGCTTGCAAAAAACTACAGCTATAACAAATATTATGGTGATTTTCGAAGCGTAGATGTGTCACAAAGCTTTTATGAGAGATCCAGGAAAAATCGAACAATATTCAGTCGTAATTGATCTAGAGAGACGAATTTGCTAAACGCGACGAATTGCCCAAATGATTTTCTAAGCGTAGCATAGATGTGTCACAAGGTCGAATGTGGGAAGTGAGGATCGAACCTTACTAGACCATTACCCCACACCGAAATGCAAGCATTTTTTTTCAAAGGGTCTTCGTTTGTGCTTTTCGAGAGCTTAGAACTTCAGCTTATAGGCGGCAATCGCTGCATCGTATATTGCGTGATTGAAGTAATGCCAACTTTTCCCGCTTTTTATTCTATGCCCGAATAACGCAAAAGGTCCTTCCCTATACGACAGTGTTGTATTATTCTACATCGAAACACTACACTAGAAAAGCTCTGTCCTTTGAATAACTTGTAGTATTATGTTATTGTATAATCATGTGAATCTATTACAAGGGAAATGAGCCTGGAGGAAACTAATGCTAAAAAGGAAAGATAATTGAAAGGAAAGTAAAAGATCTGGACGAAGACATAAAGAAAGGCGAAAGAAAAGATAACGATTCTTGCAAATGAAAAAAAGAGAAAGGTTGGTCTTATAAATGTTGGCAAATTCTTGATATAATCAGTTTTTCGGCTGAACTCTAACAATGTATTTCATTCTTTACAATATCCAGACTTTTTTTTAGTCTATGTCTGCACAAAGGTCAAAAGACTTCGAATTATATATATATATATATATATATATATATATATATATATATATATATAGCCATCAACAAACAGACTGTCTCGAAACCGGACTGAATTTGATATCAGTCAGATATCTTACCACTAGGCCATCGTTGCGCGGCTGAAACGAAGGAATTTTAACGTTTTTCTCTATACGAAATACACTCAAAGACCTTAATTTATACTTGAAGAGTAATGCTTTGTATATATATATATATATATATATATATATATATATATATATATATATATATATATATATATATGATTGTGTATTTGGATAGCAACCCTCTTTAATACCAGTTTCATTAAAAAACGACTGACAGGGTACAGCGTATAATTTTTTTTTTTTAAATTTTTCTTGAGTTCTTATAACTTTATTCACTTCTGCCATAAATTATGAAGCCATAAATTATGAAGAATATAAAATATAAAATATATAATAAATTTTACTTTTGTCTTTTATTTTTAAATTTATTTTATTTTTTTCATTTATATTATCGTATATTTTTATTTCTAAATATTTTTTATAATTTAATATAACCTATTGGTTTTATATTTTTAAAACATAATTTGACTTAATTTTAATATAAATTATCTAAATATGACTTAGTTTTAATTTATTTAAATATATATTCTTTTTTTAAATATAACTTATCTTTGGAAGAGCATTTTTAAGTATGTTTGTATATTTAAACATAACTTTACCTATATAATTTAAGTGTTTTTTAAAAAACCCTTTTTGTTCCTCTCTTAGTTTCAAATTAACAATTCATTCTTCATATAACCCCATTGTCATGAGGTTAATATCGGGGTTTAATTTTATAAAGCTTCTTCCCTTTAAGGGAAGAACCTTCCACCTTCTCTTGACCCCTCTCTTGTGCCTTTGGTCTGACTGAAACATTTAAATGGATAAATTCTCTTTTAGATTTTTGACTTATTTTTGTAGATATCAGTTGAATTTCTAATTCCGACACGAACTCAGTCTATACAAACCAATTCCCCATATGAGGTAATTTTACTGTGTCATAATAAATAAGAGCTCTTTTTGTGGATTAGTTTTAATATTTTATATTACTATGATCCACTTGGACCACCAACGGATTTATTACCTTTACTTTATATATTATATATATATATATATATATATATATATCACATCATGGAGCAAATTATGCGGAGTGTCGGCCTGTTAACAGAACGGGTCTGATGTTGCAATACCTGAAATGACGTCTACAATTGCATTTTATAAATGTATTTAGAGAATATATATATATATATATATATATATATATATGTCTAATTAAATGATTCAGACAATTTTGCCTACTTAATTTTTTGTGATGTCAACGAACACTCGTTGCCATGTTTTGTAATGTTCGTTATAGTAGTGACTTTTTAATTGCAGATACAACTATAGTAACGCCGTTGAACAATGCTGGTGTCAGATGCCTTCGAATATCACTCGCGCTAACAGTACTTGCTCCATAAAACTCGGTCGTAAGTTAACCACAATATAGTGATCTGAATAGAGAAATAGTATAGTGAATGGAGTAGAAAATAGCGGTCCATATAGAAATAGAGGATAGAATAGAAATGACGATCGTTTAGAAGTCACGCTACTTGCTACTTATGTGTTTCTCCCATGGTCACTTGTTCTACTTAATTCAATAATGGGATCGCCTGTGTTTGCTCACTGGCGATCTATGTTCAATCTCAAGTGTCAGCAGTGACACTTTATTCCTATATAAAAAATAAGTAGACAAAAACTGTCTAAAGTATTTAATGAGACGTCTCAATGAAAACATGGTGCCTAACTATATATATATATATATATATATATATATATATATATATATATATATATATATATATATATTAAAAAGAAGAGGGGTGCCGCAAACGTTTTTGGTTGTAATGACAATTCTAGAAAGAAAATTCGGATTGCCAACACACAAACAGAATGTCTCATATCGAGAATATTCCACATTGAACATGAAGAAAAATTAATTATTTTTAATAATATGTAAAAATCTCCACTTTCACCTGAAGACGGTTGCGAGACCAGACCAGAAACACGTGTCGTGAAATTATGTAAAACAAAGTATAATATTTTTTTCTCAATAAATCCACATTACAACCAAAAACGTTTGCGGCACCCCCTTAATTTTTTTAATATACATACTTTTCTCTCGTTGGAACCACTACAACATATTTTTTTTATATATATATATATATATATATATATATATATATATATATATATATATATATATATAACAAAAAAGGCTTAAACACTAATATTCCATGGTCATGAAATTTATTCCATTGGAATCGTAAATACGATCCAATTCATCAGACCTACAAATAAAAAAAAAAATCAGAAAAAACAACTCCCGGAATAAAAAAAATAAAATTGAGTTAGAGTGTATGTATGAGAGCGTGGGGCGATTGTTAGAGTAAATGAAATATTTATAGGGAGGGGAAAACAGACGAGATAAGAACAGGAAAGTCTAAAGATGGAGGGGATTAAAATTTAACAAACACACACACACACACACATATATATATAATATATTTAATATAAATATATATATATATATATATATATATATATATATATATATATATATATATATATATATATATAATAAACTGTTTTACAAACAAGAAAGTATATCTTTGTCTGGGAAACAGTTATATTTGTGTTTACGTAATGCACAAAAAATCGAAAGTGTAAATCTATTTAATATTTAAAATATTATATACACCGACTTTTTTTTGCTTCTGCTGTTTCCACCAATAAATTGTTTCTTCAGGCAGTCCATTGATTCACGATACATTATTTATGCATATATTAACGTAGGGAAACTTAATGGGCGGACACAAAGGTAAAATTAGTTTTGAGAAAAATGTGGGAGGGAAGAAATGGCGAAGAAAAAAAGATGGAAAAAAAAATTTGCTGCACTCATCCAGGTTCATATCTTTCTAATAAATACTTCTTTGCGTGTTTGCAAACTGCCATTATCTCAGACCTTTCATCTAGTAAGTTGTCTCACTCTAGAAACGACATACTCGCCAGTCATTATCCCTGACATAATCTACACATGATATTATCGATAGTATATGACATGGCATTTAAAAAAAAAAACACCAATATACATTAGGCTTTTTGCCATAATTTCTTTTAGCTCCCACACATGGCTAGCCAGTTTTGTACAATGTTTGTAACTTTCCAGTTTAACGATGATTAATAGTTGTACCATCATTTCTTAAAGCTGCCGTTTGTGCACCTGAAATATACTTAATTTTGGCCCTCTTCATCTTCTACCTCTGCCTTGTACAGTACACCTTCTGTTTTACATGTTCTGTTTGGTGGGCACATATTCTTGTTTCTGCAATTGCACATGTGATCAGTTATATCATTATTCTGCACGCCATCTTTATAAAAATTCTTGAGAGTTCTGTGAAAATTC